GGCCGCACGGCGGAGGACTCACCATAGAGAGCGCCGGCACGAGCGGCCTCCCCCCTCGTCTCCATGGTGCAGTCGACTTCCGCCGCACGCTTCCTTTGGGGGCGGTGCCCCGTGGGCGGGGCTATGCCAAACGAGTAGCAGCGATTGGTCGAAAGATGAAAGGGGGTGGAGCGAGTGCGGCAGCGGTGGTCGGGGTGTGAGCCAGCGGCGTCCGGGGCGATGGGGCCGCCGGGGGGGGGGCGGGGGGCTCCCGGGGAGGCCGGGGGCGCCGCAAGGCGGGGGCGCCGCTTGGTCCCGCATCGGTGCCACGGGGTTTATTGCCCCGGATGGCGATGGGGCTAACGGCACCATCTCCTCCCGCACGGAGGCGCCCCGGGGGCTCTGCCTGCGGGACACACCTCGTCCTTGCCCGGAGCAGCCGGAGGGCAAGACGGACGCGGGGCAGGGAGCCGGGCACCCGCCTCCGCCTCGGGCCGCTTTGCCCCAGCTCCAGCCTGGCCGGGGGAGCGGCCGCCCAGGGAAGATGCGGCTGCAGGCAGGACAGGCGGCCGCTCGCCTGGGCGTTTCCAACGCGCCTGCCCCAAGCCAAGTTCGAGGCTGTCCCCCATGATCGGTGTGAAACGAAGCACAAAGGGCAAACGCAGAGGGCCTAATGGATGAGTGAGAAAGAGCTGACCTGCACGCGAGGCCCAGAGCGACTCGGGCTGGCAGCAGAGCCCGGCTCCGCGGGCTGCGCAGTAGCCGTGAGACCGGAGCTGGGCAGCAGCCCTGGCACTTGGGCCCTCCTGGAGCTGGCGCTGCTCGACGGCCACGAGACACACACCACGAGGCCAAAGAGCGAGCGAGCTGCCCTCGTGAACCTTCTCCTTCCAAGGTGCCAGATGACCACTAAAGGTCAGCAGAAAAACATCACATCCAACTAATACCATGGATTGAGGACTTGTATTTCTGGGACCACAAAGCCAGCAATTTTAAGTAGAGACTGGGGTGCCTAGAGAGCAGGGTGCTGCTAAAACCTTGGCTTTCACCTCTGAGTTGCAATAAACACAGACACTATATGATTATTCACTCCCCAAGTTCACTTACGCAATGCCCAAAAAAAAAGCAAGAACTGTACAGCAGATTCTCAAAGCAGGGAAAGAGCTGGGCCACTGAGATTGCTGAAGCCAGGTGCCAAGAAGGGAAATAAAATCCGGTACTTCCTTGTTTGTCTTCTCCTCCCAGGGCACACAGTCCACCTTCCAAGCTCATTAGATCCACAGTTCATTTCCATGATGTTCAACATTGTCCAAAAAAAAATAAAAACAAACCCAATGCAACTCAGACAAGGGAGGAATGGCTTCAACAAAGGATAAGAGCAGACTGGGGGAAAAAAAAAAAGAAAAAAATATAAAAAAAAGGTGGCATAGCATGCTCTGTACTAGAAGGGTTGAAATGGGGGTTGCTGTGAGGCCTCAGAGTGCCCACCTGCTATTTGGGTCCTTTTCCTTAACAATACACCTGGAGCAGAGGTGCCCCAGATGAGTCAGTCTCTGTGTCTTGGAAAGATGAATCTCTGCTCGTCGGAGATCCTTGGAAAGAGAAGAGAAGGTGACATGAGACAGTGTGAACTACAGCAGCCAAGGGCCTGGCTGTCAGGCAGGTAGCTGCCACAGAGGCCTTTGTGTATCATGAGGGAGGAGGAAGCCACACAAAGGCCACAGGCAGGGAACAACCCTGCCTGTCCTGTAGCCACCTTCCTGGAGAGCTTGGTTATTATGCAGGAGGAAACTTGCCTTTTAGCCCTGGGCAGCTCTCTGGAGCAGAGCGTGACATGCAGCGAGGATCAGCGCTCAGGGGACTCCTAGTAAGCCTCTCCTCCTGCTTCCCTGTCCCTTCATTCCCAGGGCCGTCCAGCTGGGACCAAAGCTGGTTGCATCCCAAATAAAACCTCACTTCCCTCAATTTTTTGGGGGGATATCTGGGGACTGAAAGCTCTCTGGCCACGCACCAGGCACAGCCACTCCTCACCTTGCTTCCATTCCCCTTCCCAAGGACAAACCCACATGGGCTGACTTCGGGTTCCTGGCCCCCCTTCAGCTCAGCAGATCCACGCAGCTTGAAGCAACCCGAGAGGCAGATGTTTTAGCTCAGCCTTTGCAGATGATGAAAGCCGAGCTTCCTGCTCAGGAATGCCTGCATTCCTGAAGGATTCCCTCCCCAGTGATGCTCCTGCAGCTAACCCCCCCACCATGGCAACGCTACCTGCGCTGCTGTGTCGCCTCATGTTCCTGGCCATCACATCTGCCGGCGTCTCCTCCGATATCTGCACAGCCAGATCTGGAACGAAAAGCAAGAAGGTCTAGGAGAGGAAAGGATGGGCAGCAATGACTCAAGAGAGAAGGCTCCTGTCAGGAGCTGTACAGGGCTCTCCCTCGGCGGGCACCACCCTTGGGTGACAGGGCAGGCACTGGGGTTTTGTTCAGGCCGCTTCCACCATTGTCTCGGTAATCTGAGCTTTACAACTCTTAAATACAAGGAAGGAGCTGCAATTGCACTGCTCAGCCGTAAAGGACAAGAGCCAACCAGCTTCCTTTGCTATTCCTGGAGATCTCCTTGCCTGTGCAGGAAGCTTTTCACTATCCTTCCATCACGTGCTCTCTCTCGCGGGCTCTTCTGGAGGGCATCCAGGCAAGGAGGGTGTCCTTGAAAGAGGCAGCAAGTCCTTGTGCTGTGAGACAGCCCCTTGCTCCCCTCTGCCCTGACCACGTCACCAGTTCCTCCTCACCTCAGCGAGAGGAGAACCTGGAGGAGAATCCCAGCTCTGCCACCGTTCTGAGGGTGGCAGCAGCAAAGAGCACTGGTAGCACCGGGGAAGGGAGCCAGCCTGGTAACTGGCCATCCCCTGGCACTAGCCAGCTGGTCTGGTCATACCAGTCAAGCCTGACTCATGGGCCCTCTACCTAGCTTAGCGGAGAAGAGGGAAGCCAGAATTATCTCCGAAGCAGCAGAATAAGCCCTTGTATCACTCAGGGCAAGCTCAGGACAGTAAAAGATAATATCAAGCAAGCCACAGTGCAACGGGTGGTGAGAAGCAGAGGTCTCCAGTAATAAACAAGCCATCTCCATGCACACATGGCACAAACATCAGCTCAGCTTGAAGACCGAGATCTGTTTTCAACGCCCCTCCGTTGCCACCTCCAAGCACCCACATCCCTGTGGGTGCTGACCCCATCACGTGGAAGCTGCACCTACCATCCTGGCTGAGGACCATGGACTCCAGCATGGTTTCGTTGCCGCTGTCGGGTGGGTTGCCTCTGCTGGACTTCTCCTCGTGGCTCTTGCTGGCTGGGACCGAAATCTGGGGCCGGACCCTGCTTTTCCGGGTGCTGATGCGTATGATGCCTCGGACCAGCCTGCACTCGGCATCCTGCTCATCCAGGTTGTAGTCCTGAGTTATGCTGTTGATGAGGTCCGAGATCTTGTTGGTCTTCTCCAGGAAGACAGTGTCTGACGTGCACTTGGCCAGCTCATCAATCTGGTGGACGCTGAAGAGCTCCGTGAGCTTCTTGAAGATCAGGACGTCAATCTCCCTGCTCGACATGGAGCCGTTCAGCTCGCTGATGTCCAGGTCGGATTCATGGAACGAGTAATACTCCTCCGAGCTCCGGTGGCTGCTGGGGAGCGGTGGCTTTTCTATGCTATTCCTTAAGGGCTTATCTGGCAGCAGCTCTTTGCAGCATGAATCTGAATCCAGATGGTGATTGGGGCTCCTGTTTTGATAGACAGGAATGCCCTTGAGTTTCACATCTGGGTAACTGAAACTGCTACCCATGCTGGTCTTTTTCATCTGGTTCCCATTCTTCTCAGTGGGAGAGATGTTGGCAGGGCTGTTTGGCAGCCGCCCATTGTAATCTCCGTTCTTTCCGTCATCAGTGGAGCTCTCAGCAGGCCCTGGATAGGTGATACAGACGCTGCAGTCCTGAAAGTAGCCCCCACAGGTCACTATACAACAAAAGACAGCCTTGTACGTGTTCCAGGCCTGAGACAGAGAGGAACAGCACAAGCTCTGCGCCTGGGGAGCCTCTGCCGACCCGGAGATAAAGGTGATGGTTTCTGCCTCTCTCCCGTTGGGGTCTTTGAGGTCGCCCCTGCGCCCCTTCCTGTCGCGCATCTGCTGGGCTCGGCCGCGGCTCTGCGTGCCGTCGGCCGCGGGGCCGCTGAGCACCTCCAGGCTCACGTCGCCCTCCTTGCGCGCTCTGCTCCGCAGGGGCACGGCCTCCGGGAGCGGCTGCTTCATCCGCTGCTGGCTCTGGAGGCTCTGGGGGAGTCCTGTTTTCCGGCCCAGCATGGCTCACCGCTCAGGCACCTGAGGAACAAGGTCTCAAATCAAACAAAACACTGGTCGCCAGTCAAACCCTAACGAGATGTTGATCAACAGAGGGGTACCGCGTCCTAACATTTAAATTTAGTGAGTCTCAAATTCAACACTGCAATGATTTACAGTAACACTTTGCTTTAGGGCTCACGCTGTCCTAGTTCGTCACGGAGACAGGGACGTTTGCCTGCATTTGAGAGTTCTGACTCCTACAGCTTTGCTGCTTGCTTCAGAAGGCACCCGAGTCAGAAGAGATGTTTCAAAAGAGCCACTTCTAACACACCAAAACTCTGCAACCTTCAGAAGTGTTTTTCTGAACACAGCTGGAAGAGGAGGCAGGCTCCAGAGCCCTTGTTCCAAAGGCAATAAATGAGCAGCACAGCTGCAGGAGGAGCCGGCTGCCCCTCGGGCTCTAAAGGGAAAGGAGCTGCTTTTTCCACGGCTTCTGCTGTGTCCTGCATTCCTTGGGATTAAGCTGGGCTCTAACACTTGCCCATTTCAAAACACCTCATACCCAGGCGGCCACGACAAGCCATCAGCCCCTGTGCATGCTGCCAATTCAGACAACAGATTACCCCACATTATCCAAATTTTGAGCATTTAGCAGTGAGGGTCCCGCTAAACGTTACGTTAACGGACGATGTCTTCACCTGACTTGATCTGTCTTTTAATCCAATCTCAAATCACGCCTCACAGGAGCAAAACTTTTCCAAGGCTCTGACACAGACATCATCTTCCAAACTTCCTACTCCGCTGTTCTTCCCCTTGCCGCTCTGCTAACACAGTCAGGACTGGACGCGGGATCCAGGTATTTTTACAGGATACTGTTGTGACCACGTAGCTGCACAGACCTAACAGATTTTGGCACATTAAATCTCCCATTAGGGAAGTCAGGTCAAGCCACAGTATAGTATTTTGGACTCTCCCTGCTGCTGTAGTATTAACTTTCTATAGGGCACCTCAAGCATGAATATATAAACCTGTCCCACCTCACTACAGCACTGACTTTTGCCTCTTTTTTTAAAAAAAAAAAAAAAAAAAAAAAAAAAGAAAGAAAGAAAAAAAAGGGGGTTTTGCCCTCACAAAGTAGCAGAGAGGCTGAAAAAGCTCCACAGGCAGCACTTACATCACAGCACTGCTCTCCAGGAACACTTCAGCTCCATTAGATTATCAAATCCATAAAGTAGCACGTGTCCCAAGAGTTTCCTTTGCACATTCCTGGCCAATACGTTAAGTATAACCCCTCTAGACACTCCAACCCCCTCAGTGCTGCTCAGAGAGCGCTCTCTGAGAACAGCATCAGCAGAGGTTTGATGGCTTTCATGTCAGAGCAGTAGTTTCTTTTCCCCCTCAGCTTTATCCTTTTTTTTTTTTAATGGCAAAACTCAAAGTCAGAACGAAGCACATTTGAGCCAATCTGTGCACAGAGCCCCTTCCTGGGGCACTTGTTGTAAGGTCTCATCACGAGACCCAACTCACGTGTTGCCAGGGGCCAGTAACGCTCGTTTACACAGCTATCATTACCCTGAAATTTCAAAGCATCTTTGATACAGGGGAGAATATTATCTCCGCTTTACAGAAACAGACTTGCAGGCGCAGAGACTAAGCACCTCTCCCCGCGCTGCAACTGGAGCCTGCAGCTCCTAGCACAGCACGAGCCTGGAAAGCTCCAGCTGCAAAACGCCGCTCGGGGAGGCAGCGGCTTCGCCTTGGCGCGAGCAAAAGCCCAGAGCACAAAACGCACAGGTTGAGGCAACACTCACTGGGTAGCTGGGAGCTGTCTCTGCTCTCACGCAGGTGCCTCGGATCGAGGGGAGCCTCCCGAAGAACTTCAGCGCCTGCTTCCGAAGAGCAGCGTGGAGATCCGCGGGGAGTTTGCGCATCCAGGAGTTACCCGGGGTCTAGGATCTTCATTGTTCAAAGGGCCGAGTTCCTTCGAAAGGTTCAAGAAAGCTAAATTAAGTTGCAAGTGTTAACGAAGCCGCGCCGGTTTGCCAATAACCGCATCAGCACCGTTTTAGAAGCTGGGGAAGCCAAAGCGGGGCCGGGGCACCCAAATAAGCCGAGCTTATTTTCCTGCGATGCGGGGGGGGAGATTCGAGCCTTCCTCGCGGTTTGCGGATACAGCCTTTCCAAGGGCTCCGGCTGGGAACGGCCCCGGGTGAGGGCCGAGGCCTCCCCGCCGCCGCCGCGTCCCTCGGCCCGGCCAAGCGGCCGCCTCTGCCCGGCCGCCCCCCGGCCCCGGGCGTCACCTCCGTGATTCCTGCCGAAACCCGGCGCCTGGAGAGGCGGCGGCCCCGCGTGCAGCAGGGGCAGAGGGGGAACGGCCGCCGCAGGAGGATCCCGGGAGCCCCCCCGGGCCGGCGGGAAGGGGCAAAGGGCAGGAGGGCGACGGAAGCGGCGCGGGGCGGGCGGGGAGGCCCGGGCACGTCGCCCTCCCCTCCGGCGCCGGGGGCCGACGGAGCCCGCGGCGGGGCCCGGGTCTGGCGCAGGGGGCC